TGTGTGTGTGTGTGTTTACCATTCACAGTGGTGCAGAAGGTATTACCATCATAGAGATTTCAGGGATGCACCACTTTATGGGGAAAGTCTGAGCTTGTGTGCTTTCAAGAGTCCAAGCTGGGCTCAGTGGTGATTAAGGCTGCAGCTCATCTACATGCTTTTGAACGTGCTTACTTTGTTTTTAAAGAAATTGTTCCAGATTTGCTTCCCTCAGAGGGTTTTTTTTGTGCCTCTTAGGTAAGACATGCGACAGTAATGAAAAGTGCAGAGTTTGGAGTGTGTGTTTGTGTGTGTTTGGGTGCTGAGTATGAGAACGGCTGGTTGAGCAGGGTGACAGCTCTCAGGAAGCTGTTCTCTGCTTTCCTTGAGTCAAATGAGAGGAGAAACGTTTAGAGGGTGACTCACTGAAATGAAGAGGTGTTTGTGTGTGTGTCTGTGTGTGTGTTTTTCAGGTTATAAAAACATACTGGGCCACATTTACATATAAGCAGTCTTCATCCTAGATTTCATTATTCATTCACTTCAAAAAATGCAACAAAAAACAAACATCATTCAAATCAGAAAACCAAATAAATTACTGCAAAACAACAAAAAGCTGCAGATTTTAACACCAGGATCGTTTCTCTCTAAATTGTGTGAAATAGAAATTAAACGAGACACATTGCATCTGTGGCGGAGAGATGGAGCAGGAAGGACTAGTGCGTGCCAGCCAGCGAGGCTGAAAGAGATGAGAGAATAGTGAGGCACGCTGGACAATATGTGGGGAACGGGGGGAAGCGGGGGGGGGGATGCCCCACATAGAGACGCAGGAATATAAGTGAAATCCACAAAGGAGAAGAGTGGGAGAAAATGAAAGAAAGAGGTATGAGACACTGTGATTCATGAAGGTCACAGACGGTGTGCGTCTCAGGGGTGATTTAAAATGTCCACCTCACACAAAGACAGGGACAGACCGGGTGGAAACGGGATGAAAAAGGGGACGAAAAAAAACGAGAGAGGGAAGAGGCAGGAGAAGCGAGAGAGCGGAGAAAGAATATATGAAGGAAGAGGAGGAGGAGGGGGATGAGATGGTGGGAGGAAGTGTGTGTGTGTGTGTGTGT